CCCTCCTGCTCCCTCCATGTCTCCTCCTTCACTCCCTCGACCCGTTCCCTTGGCCCCTGTGTGGTCCCCTCCTGCTCCCTCCATGTCTCCTCCTTCACTCCCTCGACCCGTTCCCTTGGCCCCTGTGTGGTCCCCTCCTGCTCCCTCCTCCCTCTCGCCTGCGGCCCCTCCGGCCGCTGCCCGTCGCCCGTCTGGTTTCCTTTGGGCTGCCCTTGTTCCTCCTCCCTTTCCCTTCGTCCCGCCTGTTTCTGCTCCTCGTCCCTCTGTTCCTCCTCCGTTCACTCCTGGCCCCTTCGTGTCGCCTGTGGGTGTTCCCTCCGTGTCGCACTTTTCCGTCTGCCTGTCTGCGTTCCCCATCCTTTGTCAGCTCTTGTCTTTCATCTGGTCCCTGTTCCTGTTCAGTGTTTCTGTCTTGTTTCCGGTTTTTCAGCTCCTGCGTCTCGTCCGTCGCCTCCCCTCGGGCGCGCCCGGTGTGCGCGCCTTTGGGGGGGGGTTCTGTCACACCCAGCTCCGTCCGATCATAATGTGTGCCACGCCCACCTCGTTACCTCCTGTTTCTGCCTGATTGTATTCACCTGTTGCTTGTTCAGTTTAGCCTGTTTCGTGTATTTAGTCCGCGTCCGAGTTCGTTTCCCCAGATCAGTCATTGCGTTGTCCTGTTGTTCGTGGATGTCTGCCTTACCCTGCTCAGTAAAACTCCTGTTTACCCGCATCACCGTCTCTGCTTGCCTGCTTCTCCGTTTGCCCGCTCCACGCACCCTGACACAGTTAATGTAAAGCGTTACCATTTATTTACATTCAAACATTATTTATGTATTGACACAGTTAATGTAAAGCGTTACCATTTATTTACATTCGAACATTATTTACGTATTTGAAGATTTTTTTTATTTATTTTGATTTCATATTTTATTCAATTTCAGTTGCACTGTTAAGAAGAGGACACATTTTGCACAGTTTAGAAAGATAAATAAAGGAATATTTTTGAATAAATTTGTCTGTAGCTCATTCTGTTAAAAATCGTGAGAAAATCGTGAATCGTATCAAATCGTGAGTTGAGTGTATCGTTACATCCTTAATAAACAGTAATTCCCAGGCACAACATTAAGCACACTAATCTGTCTATATGTCTATATTCAAAGAAAGAATGCTGAATTGATTAATTACCAAGGGATCAAATTTTGCAAAATAAACCTGGATCACTTGATCCATTACATGCAAGACAGTCCACGTGTCCCACATAGACTAAGAAATCCCTGTGGTGCTTCTGTGGGTCCAGTAGATAAAAGCACATACCTAAGCTCTCACTCTCAAGGAACTGCAGACCCAAGCCCTCCGTCTCCTGAATTTGGAGACCCGAGCCGTCCCTCTGCTGGACCTGCAGACCTAAGCCCTCCCTCTCCTGGACCTGCCCCAAGCCCTCCCTCTCCTGGGGCCTCATGTATAAACGGTGCTTACGCACAAAAATGTTGCGCACGCCCGTTTCCANGGAATAGTCTTCCTGCTAGTGTGGTGGAAGCCAAAACCATGGGTTCCTTTAAATCAGAGCTAGATAAGATTTTAACAACTCTGAGCTATTAGTTAAGTTCTCCCCAAACGAGCTTGATGGGCCGAATGGCCTCCTCTCGTTTGTAAATTTCTTATGTTCTTATGTTCTTAAGCTGCATTAAAACAGCAATGTTATTTTTTTCAGGTGGCTAAGAATGTTACCCGTTTTTTTTTTTTTACCTCATTGAAGATTTTATTTTTGAACAAAAACACTTTAGTAACAGTGCACTTCTTGTATTTTTTGCACTTTCAGACCCCTCTATTTATTGGTATATAAATAAGAGTTTTGATTTGTATGCAAGGAGGGAGCAATTGTTATAAATAAAACAGTTTGTTCGATTCAGTGGTGTTGTAATCATTGTGTCAAAAACAGAAGTATAATAGTAAATAAATATCGGTTCTGAATATCGGTTATCGGGCACATAAACATGCAAATAATTGGTATCAGTATCGGTAATAAAAAATCAATATCAGTCGATCACTAGTGTTAACCACCGGGTCCGGGGATTGCCACCGTGACAGGCACCAATAAATCGAATCGTGATAGAAATGAAAGATTTGCAATGCATCAAATTGTTCTCCCAATAATCGTAATCAAATCGAATAGCCATTGGGCCAATGATTATGTCCGTAATATACATGCATGTTTTCTTTATGTGTTTAATTTGCAATATATTTGTCTGATAGCAGGACAGTGTCATCATAATGAATCCGGCACACATTTTAGGGTTCAGGTAACATTTGCTGTGACAATCAGCCTGCACTTCTGTCTCTATGTTAGACATAATGGATAACCAATGCACAAATATTATTATTTGTACGCAGGGATGCTGTACCTGTGTAACTGTCATTCTCCACACTGACACTGCTGTCAAAAACATCCTCTCCCATCAAGTAACTTCCCTTCCAGTTAAATGCCCCAACGGCACCTAACAAGACTTTTCCCTAAACAAACAACAAAACAGCAACAACAGCAGTAGCAATTACATTCTCAACTTAAAGAATATACCAGGAAAAACAGAAGCAGGTAAGAAGTCTTTAGAGAAAGGATGTGTACCGTGGGCATGAAAGCTGAACTAAACCCCTCTTGACCTAATTCCATCTTAAAGGATTCTCCTGATGATGTCCCTAAAGAAAAAAGGTGATAGATCAGTTCAATTTGTACAGGTTTAATACTTCTTTTACTGTTACTGCTGCTACTATTACTGCTAATGATAACAGTGTTCATAAGAATATCAGTAATAATATCACCTTCCCATATTGCTTTAAATCAAGCAATACAGAGAGTAATGTGAATTATTAAATACATAAATGCATTTATTGTAACAGGGATAAATGAGAAGATAATGGCAAATTAAAAGCAAATGGAATTACAGTATAAACAAGAATATCAGAGAGCTACAATACCTTCGATAGAAAAGATACTTTTCTCTAGCGTGTCCCTAAGGTTATCCAAAGCTTGGAAGTCATTCACCCGAAACAGATGATTTTCTGTCGGATTGGAGGCGATAGTTCTCAACTCCTGTAGTGCAGTGAGATCATGGAAAGCATTGCCGACCTGTGGGGACCAAGACAGAAAGTAATAGCTTTATTATTAAGTTGCAAATCAAGCTAAGAATGTTTGTATAATTATATGTCATCAAGCGTAATTATATGTAATAATTCTTTACCTGCAGCGAAAATAAATAATAGCAAAAGGTCAAAGTACTACCAGCAAAAGAGCAATATGTTACAGGAAAACAATTGCAAATTTTTCAGAAATTATATTTTATGTTGTTATTAACCAATGTTGACATGAAAAATATAACCAAAATCTTTATTAGCTGGAATTGTAAAGCAATGATCATTCCAGTATTGATTCATCATTTTGATTTTTTTCAGACTATTGAGTGAGTAAATTCATTGTTGGAGACAGGACTTCATGGTTCATATGCATTATCTTAAACGTAATGACACATTATTTTCCTTCTACAAGCACACATTAAAGGTACCCCAATGGCGTAACGGATGATGCCCCTCCTCTCAGCCTCATTAACCACAACACTTAAGGGAGTGCTGTCTCCATAGGTCTTTCCATCTGTGATGACCAGTAAGACCTTAACAGCATCTGGCCTCGCTCCTCTGTTTGGTACAAACAGCTCATTTCTGAAAAAGCAAAATACAATGAAGTAAAATGTAGTGGGTTTATAGGACAGAAGTATCAAAGTATTACCAGCATGTAGAACACAACTGAAAATTACTTTTCTTCATTTCATACTCAGGTGACTGTGACCCTGTACTGAGTAAACAGTTATGGACTTTATAAATGGATGGAAATATGGATGGATACACAATTTAATTTAGTAAGTTGATCATTTTAATAAAAAAAAAATTGGCGTCACCACCATTAAATCTTAGGGGGACGTGCCCCCCTCACATTTCATGATTATTCATTTGGACCTCCCCCACATTTAACATAAAATATTAGTTTTATATATATCGGCACTTGAAACCATGATTGGCAAGTTTATGACTGGCTGCCCAAAATAACAAAAAAGAACACAGTTCCCCACCCTCAGCAGACTAAGAACTGTTACTGGAAGAATACAGGGAATCCAATAAAATGATGCATATTTTTTTGTCAACATCCATTACTTTTTTTATCATCTTTTAATAAATACATGGCATGCCTAACATTATTGTATGAAACTGCTTTAATGTGAATATATTTTCAAAACTTTCAAATATACTTTCCACAAAGTCCAAAAATGTCAGGTGATACATTCGTCAGAAAAAATAAGCAGAATTTGATACCTATTAAGACTGGTATTAGCATGAAAGATACTAAATTTTTATAATTCTATAATTATAAAATAAATAATAATTAAAAGTAAATAACTCTACATGTATGTATGTTGGAAACCTTTTGCACAGTTGCCATGCAAGGTGGTACAACCCATGAAAAACCATCAAAACATTGCAACATAAAGAAGATAAAACTAATTTTTCTCATCCCGTTTAGTGATCTATTCAATAGCTTAATGTTCACTTGCGATAAGTAAATTTTAATTTGATTTGACTAACATTTATCTTCTTTATTTGAATGCCCATTTTCAGCAAAATTTCCACTTCTATGTCAAATCAATCTGCCAAACTCTGCTGACTCAACCACAACCCTGAACTTTAAATCCTGAGTTTCATGAAGTTAAACTGCCATTGAGTAGGTTTAGTTCCAAACTTTCTTTGCCAAGAGATTGCTTGAAACTCAATCTCAGTGTAATCTCAGTTTCAGGAATGGAAAGTGATCCGGTTCATATTTTTAACTCGGCATTCTGCACTAAACCCGCTTTCTGGAATACTCCCCTGTTCTGGGTTTGACTCAGTGTGAGATTGTTAATCTAGCACTACTTTCAAGCTAATTTTCAAAGTATAAGCAGATTAAATATGCAATTCAGTCCCTGCCCTGCTCTGCCTTGTGCCCTGCCTTGGTCTCCGGATGCCAATGACACTACACTGCACAGGACAAGCGGGTACAGCTGAAATTAGGAACTAATAACTAGGATCTGTAACTAAATAAGGTTAAAACCATTTGTTATTTCACATACCTAATACTTCAGGAACATTAAAATATCAAGGAAACACTAAGTGAAATACTAGTACATTACAAAGATGTACATGCCTTTCAGGTAAATAGGTTACCCTAAATTTCACACCAATGAATCAGTGCAACAATGAGCATCTGAAAGTGTGTGTTCTCTGGACTGTTGTCTCATCCAAGACTCACCATTCTTTATGCCTTGTTCTTCCCAGGAGAGACACCAGATAATACTAACATGAACTGTATGTAATAATGGCAATGTAAATAAATGGATATTTTGTTTAACAGGCTTATTCATTACACAACTTTATCTGAAGACATTTCACTTACACTACTCTTCGTATTGCAGTTGGAGTGTAAGTGTGACCTCTTTGCTGTCTTATTCTATCGATCATCCTAGACCATTCTGAAGTTCTGAAAGCACTGAAGTCCATTTCGATATCAAACCGACTGGAATACTGCATTATACCAAACTGCAACATAAAATTAACTGGGTTAGCATATGATACAAGCAAACTTTGTTGATATGTTTTGAATCAAACAGAACCAGAATGAATTTTCAATAATTCAGTTTTTGATTTGAACATTGCATTGGTATGTGTTTTTTCCAAACAAAATGTTCCTCAGAATGATACTTTAGCATACAGTAAAACTATTATTACATATGTAGACTCAAGGAACTCAAGATATTCAACCAGATGGCATAATTCATAATTTTTTATTAAATAAACTCTGTAGAAAACAGATATTAATTGTTTGAGCATCATACTGAATCAGCAAACTGTAAATAAAATAATAAATAACATTTAAGAATATATTCAATGCATAAATTTATAAAGTATCTGAAAAAATGAATTGTAGTGTAGTTGTGAAATAATACAGTGAGTCTTTTCTTACTTACCTGACTATTCCGCCCTAAAAACTGTGTAATTAAATTTTTCATAAACATCTTCATCCGATCAAAATCTCCTGTTGAAACACTGCCTGAACCATCTATTAGGAACACGATATCTGAAACAGGACAGTCTGTAGAAAAGAGGCAAAAAAAGAGCAATTAAAGACCATAGATATGAAGAAACTATTATTAATGAACTGTATACAAGTTTAAATGTTTGATGATTAAACCACTGCAGTCAATATCATTCCTGATGGCAATGTGGCTACATATAAACATGAGCTTGCCACTAGTCTCATGATGAGCCGATTTGGGATAGGATGCCTTATGAATTATATTTAATGCTGATAAAATAATAAAGCAATCAGCTGCATAGTCCAAACAAGCTTATATGCTACAGCATAGGCTGTGATGTATTATTCCAAACCTGTCACTAAAAAGTAAAAACTCACACAAATGCACCNCTTGTTCACGTACGTTAAATTTCACGCTCATTGGGATTTATAAAGGGAATGTGCGTAGATCTGTGCTTACGCACAGTTTTATGCATCTGGATTTTTTCTTGCTTACGCACATTCCTAGTTTTGTCCGTACGCCTTGTTTTAGTGTGAATTCTACGCTCGTCGTTATACATGAGGCCCCTGGTCCTGCAGACCTGAGCCTTCATTCTCCTGGATCGTCTCTCTCCAAATTTGATAAGAGTAAGTAGACAAAGCATTCTTTGAAAACAACTTCTTTATCTGGTGTTCAATGAAGTCTTTCTTGAAATGTTCTATATTATTATATGTTATCTACAGACTCGCATGTCTAACTTTTATGTAACTTATTTTGTAGGCATTGAATAGGCTTGGTCAATCAGTTCTAATGACAATAGATGTGTAATATTGTCCATAATTTGGCCCTACAAATTGTTCAGTGGGGACATTGCACAATTGGCACCTGGAAGAGAACTAGAGAGTGAGGTTCGGACATTTGTTTGGACTATTTTGGGCAACTTTAGGCAGCAGAAAATTAATTAACTTAAATCTGTCGCTTTTATGTAAATATTTGAAATTGTCTCAAAGGTTATAAATGCATACATATATGCCATGGTGAGGAAGAACAACCAGGAGAATGAGGAAAAGGCTTTCCTGATTGATTCATTTGCCATGACAAAAATGTGGCAATAATCATATAACATCCTTAGAAAGGTAAATTTCCAATCATTTACATGTTGTGAATGACCTGATATCCTGTTCAATATGAAATGTATTGGATTACATAGAAAAGAATATTAAACTATTGTAGATAAAATGCATTGCCGCTTTTGTTTAGTGGGACCCTACCCAATTCAAAATCATTCTTGGGGTTATAGGTGAACATGGACACTGGAGTCTTGCTGTAAGTATAATGACTTGTAATGATTATGCTTAAAGTTTGAATGATTAAATATGAATGAATTTATAAAACAAAATAATTTGGCTCAATGTATTTAACAAATTATTCAGGTATACCATGTTTTGTTTTTTTTTCTTTTAGGCTATGTATCCATCCCTCAAAAAAACAGTTCTTTTGGATTCAATGGGAGAGTCAAAGGCCAAGATATCAAAGTCCATTGATGTCACAAGGTAAGAAAGATCAGCTAAGTAAATTCTACTATAAGAACCTAGAGGCCAGAAAATGAAATTCATTTAATAAAAATATTTGGCATATGTCCTGTCACACAAATCTTCTTTTATTTGTTGCTGGAAATAGTCTAATGGTTAAAGCAGGCAACTATCTGAGTTTGATTCCCACACCTGTCATTGTGGCCCTGAGCAACCCTTAGTTGATTCAGGGAGACCCTTCCTATAATCACAGAATGTATGTCACTTTAGATAAGAGCATCAGCTAAATGCTGTAAATGTAAATGTTGAGGCAGGGCATGAGGAGTCTTCTTCTTAACATTTCTGGTGCAGTAAGGGAAAAGACATATTAGGCAAACCTCATGACAGAACTGGTGACACAGCATGGAAAATGTTTAGGTCATGTGTCAAAATTAATTGAGGAGTGTTTACTTTGAAATGTATGAGTTCCAGCAAATTCTTTACACAGTTTGTGACTGAAATTACTTTATTTACTCATGGCAGGTATAAAAACAGTTTCGTTTTTAGGATTGCCATCTAATTCTAGCGATTTACATACATTCATAGACTTAATTGTGCCTTTTAATTCAGCTAAAGTAGCGGTGCAGCTTCTGAGCTAGACAAATGTGGGAGGACAAAGAAAGGAGGAAAGGTCAGTTAAAGTATATTTAGTTTCAGAGGTATACAAGTCATACACGAACGAGCAAAGTTTCATTAACATGCTTTCCGTCCATCAAGATGTCACCAGATGGTGATTTCACAGAAGAGATAGTAGCAAACTTTTCATTGCTAAGCAGAAGTAAGGCTATATAAGTGACTAGGTCTACTTCCATTAAATAATNCTGCATAGTCCAAACAAGCTTATATGCTACAGCATAGGCTGTGATGTATTATTCCAAACCTGTCACTAAAAAGTAAAAACTCACACAAATGCACCATTAGGCATAATGTTGGTTACCAATTAGGCAGGTGTCCTGGTCAGGTAGTTCCGTTGGGGACCCTTGACCTAGTGTATGTTGTGTATGTATGAAGTCTGCCTATATGTATGTGGATGAAAATTCGGCACAAATGACATCCTGTATTGGTTCAGAGCAGAGCTTTTCACGATCCACTCAAATACATGCGATGCATTCAGTGTCGGTCAGTTAAAGTGCATCAAGACGAGGATTGTCCCACTCTCCTTGAACCAGTGTTTCCCTTAGGTTTACAGTTATGGGTTGGGGCGGGGGGGCAGACGGACACCGAAAGGATTCATGGTGTTCATGTGTTTCTTTTAATGACAGCTGTCAAAAAAATCAGGTGGCTTATGCGATATATTTTCCGTCGCACGCTCGCTGTCCGCTGGTGGGAGTGTGCTTCCCTGTGTGTGCGCGCACGTCTCTGTGCTCGCGCATCGGGGCGGAACCCCGCCATGCGCGATACAGTGAGCAGAGAATGTTAAAATAATTCTACATTTGATCATGTAGAGGTGCGTGACTCTATACAGCCCTCCAAAACAAGTAGCATTAAATGCAATTAAAATTGCTTAAGTCAGTTGCGGAATGCATGTAAAAGTCATTTGCATGCAATATGGCCATATTTTGGTGTTTCTCTGCCTAAAGTGCATATCTAGCTAAAGTGAGCATAACCCCCAGGTTTAAGTCAATAGGAGAATACACCTAAGTGAAAAACACACAGCTATGTGCTTTTTTTGGCATAAACGCAGGGGAGAATGTGCATTACAATCTAGTGGGTCTAGCTTTCTAACAAATCCCTTGGATAGGTGAAACTGGATGCGACTGGTAATATGATATTACACACATTGATAACATGCCATATTCCCTCTGAGTTAATTCTATTCCCCCGGACTCTGGGGAAGACATATGAACGATATGGTTTATCCAGGTATATTAGATTCTAACAGGTCTGGATGCTGTTCAGCCAAATGGCTACTTCAATATTAGTTTAAATACTAGAACGCGTGGCCATAGGTGGAAATTGGCGGGATAACATTTTAAATTGATTTGAGAAAGCACTTCTTTACACAGCGTGTAGTTAGAGTATGGAATAGTCTTCCTGTTAGTGTAGTGCAAGCTAAAACCCTGGGTTCCTTTAAATCAGAGCTTGATGGGGGCGAATGGCTTCCTCTCGTTTGTAAATTTCTTATGTTCTTATGGCAGTGTTTCCCCTACCATTATATTAGGGGGGCGCCCCGCCCCCCCTTGAAGGTCAAGTTAATTTTATTTTCTATATAGTGCCAGATCATAACAGAAGTCATTTAAGGATACCTTTCCTATAAAACAGGTCTATACATTGTCCTTTTATTAAACAAACTAAATAGCCTTATGTTATTTATCTTATTTACACAACGGCTTGTCATTTTTGTCTCTACACAGTCGCGCGTTTACAATTCTCCTCTGCTCTCTGTATCGCGCATGGCGGAGTTCCGCCCCGATGCGCGCGCACACACAGGTGAGCACACTCCCACCAGCGGACAGAGAGCGCGCGTCGGAAAATATGTTGCGTCAGCCACCTGAAAAGCAGACAAAAATATCTGTTTTTTGACTGCTGTCGTTAAAAGAAACACATGACCATGAATCCTTTCGGCCTCCGTCTGTAGCAGCGAACGTATCTTCGCTTTCTGGCGTCGTTAGATTACCCACGCAGTGCCGAAAGCGGTATAATAATATCAGAAGACGGGAAATATATAGCTTTTACAAATAGTAAAAAAATAAAAGTAAATGTTTATTTAAAAAAATGTTCTTTTTTCTTTCCAGTTAACTTATTTATTTTGTTATCTTTCTTAGAGTCCAAATTTCAGCTGCAAACACAGGGAAAGACGAAAGGCGGGGCAGCGACGATCTCTAAGTATTACAATAGTGTATGTCCCCGTTATTTCATGTCCCCACCTTCCATAATATTTTACAAGCTTATAAAAATGTTTAGGCTCGCTGGTCATAAAACTGCAATGAAAAAGTAGCAGGAGAGGTAGGTATTACTGCCTCACTGAGGGAAGGGTGCATGTCTTGAACTGCATTGGTCAATAAAATGTGCATTGAATACGCAACTTAACCCCATGCATGAGTGTGACGTGGGAACCCCGGATCTGCGGTTTCAGTTAAACACGTTTTACCGCAGTCCGGGAAAAAAAGTAAGTTTAAAAAGTCCAGAATGTTAACCATTTCATTCCTGAGTGTAACCACGTCTGCTTGTGATAAAGTAGAATATCTCATTAAAAATGGGGGAAAACTATGGGGCGCCGTTTGTAAAGTTACGAAACATTTTTGTACTTGCCACTTTTTCAACATTTAGTGCAATTTTCTGACATTTAGCTAGAAGTCAATGGTGTTGTGGATCATCATATTTTTTGCTGTGTAGATTATTTGCACAATTGTTCATCATATGTAAATATAAATGGTATGTTTATATATAAATATTAAATGTAAATGTCAAATATTTGTCTGAAAAAAATTCACCCTTATAATTTTTCTGTAAAGGTTGAAAAATATCTGTCGTATACTATTTCAGTTATCGCAGTAACAAGTGCCTTAGGCTATCCTTCTCTTTCATACAACTATGCAGTCCTGCATTAATTTTGGGGCAATTTGTTTCAAAATTTGAGCACTTCCATATCTTCACTTCATACTGTACAATGCTTCAGCAAAGTTTGAAAGGGATGCATCCCCTTTTCTCAAAGGTTTTTCGCTTTCTCCAACCTTTGAGAGACGATGGAATTCCAGACCCAGCAACGAGTTGACCACTTAGTTGGAAACACATGCCATTGTATGTTGTAAAGGAACTACAGTCTCTTGGTATAGTGGGACCACATGCCTGCAAAAAAAATCCAGATTTCTTTGATGGAAACTCAACATGCTAGAACTGACTAAGCATGAGTGAATGATGATCCACAGTGCAGATTACAAGAGAATGGGAACTTTTTTAAAAACTGCACTGAACTGAATCAGAATAAACACAAACATGATCAGGTAACCTATGCCCATTGAGGTAACACGTAAGAAACCAACACAAGGAACACCTGTAACTTATGAAACATCTACAATGACAAACAGAGGAACAGGGCAAGTACATAAACACACAGGAAATGAGGGCTAGACAAGGGACAGGTGTGGGTGATTACAAGTTAACCAAACACTAGGGCTAGGAATACCAAGGAACAGGTGACGGTCATTAACAATCACTCAATCAAGGACTCAAAGATTAGGAGCACAGAAAAGAATGGAATGGCCAGCTACACCTGCTGGTGAAATGGGGAAACAACAAGGCAGGGACTGATCCTGACAAGAACAACATCACAGGCAACAGGTCTTGAACCACCAATCCAAATGGTGTGACACCAGTGAGCCACCTTACTTAAAATATGTTAGATAAATATAGATAAATAGATACATAACATAGATAAATGGTAAGTCATAGAAGCATACTTACCAGTGTATTTGAAGATGTTGGGTCTTTAACCATTGACAGTCCAAGTGACATGTTTACAGCATACTCAGGAACTGTGTCGAAATATCCATATTTTTAATGAATGATTAAAATACAAACTGTTTTTTGCAATTTCTTATCAATGCAAAACTGAAACCCTTACCAAAAGAAGAGTCGTTTTCTAGCAGTACTTTAAACTGTGTTTTGTCTGTTTGAAATGTTTAAGCAAAAGTATTGTGATATATTTGTAAATGATACAGTATAAATACTTTACCTGTTATAGATACTTTAGAGCATGCAGTGTTTCCAGTTTCACAACGGTAAATCCTTCCTCTGTACTTTTCATCATACCTCATCAAAGGATCGCTAACTAACAACCTGTAAGTTAAAGAGAAACTGTTTATTTTGAGACCCAAACATCACTAAGGATGGGAGATCCACACATCTGTGCCAGAAGACTGCAGTGGTTCATCCCCGCACAGGTTTTTCATTAAACATATTCAAACAGGGAATGAACAGGCTGTTGAAGTGTATCCCTAAGTGTTTAACCAAAGTAGTGTGGGGGTTAACCTGGAGTCTGTGAGCCTATGATGGGTAGAAACAGAGCAGGAAGCAAACCCATGACCAAGTGTGTGAGTACAGGGTTACTCCAGAAAAGTACCAAAATTCTGCTGAAACTTAATATTAAAAGAAAGATTTTAATAATCTGCTAATCAGCATGCGAGGTGTCAGTGTTCAAGCCTGCTGAGTGTGTGTGTGTGTGTGTTGGGGGGAGAGGTCAACACGGATTGGCAGACATTCCATCATTCTTTAGTCTCTGTGGAAAACGGAAGGTCAATCTGCCAGCCTGGTTTAATAATGAATCAAAAACATGTTGCAGGCCCTATAAAATGATGTCACAGGCTGTATTACAGCCTTATTGGGCTGATTTTCCTAATTGCAGAAACATCTTAAATTTGATGGCTGCCTAACATACACTCACCTAAAGGATAATTAGGAACACCATACTAATACGGTGTTTGACCCCCTTTCGCCTTCAGAACTGCCTTAATTCTACGTGGCANCCTTTGTGTCCTATAACCGTGTATCATTATTGCAGTTGGATAAATTGTAATAACTTTTTAATTCTTAAACCAATCAACATCAAACCAAGTTCAATGACTTCCTCTGGCCCTCCCTCATCTTTCACAACCTTTCAGGAAATTTTCACACCCATCTGATTTTCAGAACACCAGCCATATGTGTCCTATAACCGTGTGTCAATATTCATTTACTTATTCAGTTTTACTTTCCTTGGAAATAATGAATAAGCAATATTTTCTGTAGTTATTTAATACAAAACGACACCCATATTTCATTTCACGTCTAACATCCAAAACATTGGCAATTAACGATTACTGTTTATTTCCATTTCTCTTTAATCATTTCTAATTTTTCTTGGCCATTATTTCCTTCAAAGAAGCCAAGAGAGTAATACATGTCACAGACTGATGGTCAACTGGGTTAAAAAAAAAAAAAAAAACTCATGTCTTTTCATAATTCTTGCATATTTTGTAGTTTTATTATTTAAAAAAAGACATGTAATCTGAATGAACAAATAATTATTTATTTTTCAATGTCTATATTTTACAGTAGGATATGCTTCTTTTACAAGAACTATCAGAATTGCAGAGATGCTCAAAATCTGATAAAACAAATTTTATAAATTAGCCACAAAGATTTTCCCAGAAATGCTTACATGCAATCTCTTAGTATGACTTTTACCATTTCCTGCATATACAGTTATTATTTCTGTAAGTGTTGTACATATCAACAAATTATTTACGTAAATTATTAAAATTCAAGGTTTTTTAACTTCAGTTAGGTTGTCCTATGGAATTTCCTTGTGTAATTTAACACGAGAAACACTGCCATCTGGAAGAAGCTGTTCTTTGCTTCTCCCAATCTTCATTTGACATTCCCACACAAGATGGATGATACCACCTTTTACATTTGGTGCATTCAATCTAAAATAAAATTTCAGACATGTTAAACTAAAATCTAATTTAAATGTTTAACATACAACTCATGTATTAAAAACAATTACTGCTCAGAGTATTGTCAAGATGAAATTGCAATGTTATACTTACCCATTTTGTTTGTTTTTTCTCTCCAAAAAGAGCAGTGTTCCTTTTCACTGAAGACTTAAATGTATTATTGTATTAAAGATGAGGGAGGGCCAGAGGAAGTCATTGAACTTGGTTTGATGTTGATTGGCTTAAGAATTAAAAAGTTATTACAATTTATCCAACTGCAATAATGATACACGGTTATAGGACACATATGGCTGGTGTTCTGGAAAACAGATGGGTGTGAAAATTTCCTGAAAGGTGTGAAAGATGAGGGAGGGCCAGAGGAAGTCATTGAACTTGGTTTGATGTTGATTGGCTTAAGAATTAAAAAGTTATTACAATTTATCCAACTGCAATAATGATACACGGTTATAGGACACA